TTACAAATGATCTATAAATCAATCACTACTTAGCACCTCTAAGAAACCTCTGCTATGGTGGGAAATTATGAAAAACTACTGTATATTCTCGCGATTCACTGTAGTATATTGTGTATGATAAATCTTGTTTTTTTTTGTACTTGTCATATATATTCATATTAATAGCTTTGATACACAATAATGCAATATGATTTCCTTGGAATTCAAGATAAGAGAACCACCAGCACATATAGTACATTCCCACGACTTCATAAAGCACACAGCCTTGTTCAAAGGGTTTCACATATACCCAAAGCCTTAAGGCCATAGCTGCAACTCTAAACAAACATTTTACACTAGTGCAAGATCATGCTTAAAGATACCATCAACGTCTGGATTTCACGCTCCCAGCTGATATAGGCCAGAACTCTTCGGCAGCTTTGAATAACAGTTTGTTTACTTAAAATGTGTATGACATTGTGAAGTCTGTTGTTGTAAGGAGGCTTATGCAAAACTGATACATTTCACGGATCCACCATGTGACAAAAATGTGACATTCCTGGGGTGTGGATCCACAATGCATCATGTATGTTCAGCTCCCTTACTGGAACTAATTAAAATAATTTCTGACAACCTTATCGGAAAACAAGCTCGCCTCCTAACAATACCCTCCATTCATATTCCACAAGTCACCATTGTATGATTGGATCACAAGAATTGCTCTGCTGCCGGCATAATATGTGCCTAAAATAATCAAATTAATTGTATCCCTAGGAAATCTACTCATTGACTTGTTTGTGCATCCATAACAAAATGTTGTTTTTCTGCAAGGGTCGCAAAGCACACGATAGTCTGGACAAATGAAACAGGCATCCATTGATGCTGTTAATGTTAAGTAGCAAAGAAGATGCAGGGAGAAGCTAATCGAATGGTGAAATAGTAGCAGAGGGGATTGTCCTTGGGAAATGAAACGGCCTCGTTACTACACTTGTTATTATGCTCATCTTGAAAATCAACCAAACAATTGGCACTTAAATGTTTCACAACACTAAAAAGACCTAGAGATAAGGTCAATTGACTACATGGTGCCATTCTTAAAGATGTCATTAAAACGTATTGTGAACAAAAACAGTCTTTATATAAGCAAAAAGGTAAGCTGCACATATTTTTACTTGCATTATCCCCTATAACATTTACAAACGTTATGTTCAAAACATCCAACAGACCCACAATGTGGCCTTAAATTAAATACTGTAAGTGTGGAATATTTACATGCATCTTCAAACATGCATGAGAGCTTTAATCTTCAGTAAATCTTGTGATATTGATCAACCCTCAGCTCTGCTTGCATGCAGCCATAAAGCCTTTCACTGATCAATGTAATACAATTCCAGTTATGTGGAGTAGGTGTGTTTATCTTGATGACATAGAGCATAATATCACATGAATGTTAAACAATAAAAGATTGTTGGATACTCCAAGGTTTATTACCAGATACAAATGCCATTTAAAAATGTTGAGTAATATAGAAAGCATAACCCAAAACGAGTGCCTTCTATTTGATGCCCTAAATAATCACAGAATATATTTCACAACTTGTTCATGTATTTCAGATCCAAGCGGGTCAGTAAAATGAACCTTTCTGACTGACTTTCATATTCAACAGTGTACTCACTCTGCTCTCCGTGTCGATCTAGCTCAGTCTTCAGGTCTGTTGTAGATCTAAGAAATGTCCTTGTTCACTGCTGCCCTCTGCTGACAATCAAAAATAAAGGATCAATGGGATCAAATGGAAAGACCAGAAAAGAAAAACAGAAATGGTGGAATAAGGCAAACGAAAGCTGAAAATGAATGAGCTAAAGATTTAAAAAAAAAAGCAGATGTATTGTGAAAGGAAAAGCCATGTCAGAAGTGAATATTCAGTAAGTAATAAAAACCCCATCAGCTCTCAGTCTCTAGATATGATAGAGTCAGAGACATTTCCGCCTATTGCAGAGATTTAAGACCAAAGAAAATGTCTTTCTCACAAGAATTTCCTCCAGCTCTTTCCTGGATTTGATGAATCCATCCACCCATGGTTCCAGTTTAGATCGCAAGGAGTCCAATCTGGTCAAAGCAAAAGAGATTGGGAATGAGGAAGGCACAATGACATGTTCAGAAGTATACATATTAAATTCTCACAGTGTGATTTTATAAATAAATACATAACTGCTTTTAATATTGAAACCTTAAACATAGATGACTTTTTAAAGGTCTACACATAACTACTCATATTGACTTGTTCTATATGTTGGCTATCATACAGTTCATTGATCAGTTACTAGTGGATTAAAAGCAGTTAGGTGGTGGTGCCTGAATGAAGCCGAAGACGATTAAAAAACACATGGAATAACTGATACAATCCAATACCCAAACATTGAAAAATGTATTCATCCGAATTGTTGTTATGGACCAAACAATTGCCGATAATTAGCATTAGCATTGCTTATCTAAAATACCCTGGTGTCAACGTTATTTCTTTAACTATTGTATTGTATAGTACACTTTTCCTCTCCAAGCACAATTAAACTTGTTTTGAAATGAACAATAAATTAAAACACTGCTATGCCTCAAATTACCCTAATATGACATAACCAAGTGAGTATTATGAATGTACTGTAAATCGAGCTCATGTAACGCATTAGTGACAGCACTATAAAATTAAAAACTAATGCTTGTCTTGATGGATGTGCCAGACACCAAATGTCTGCCTTGACTAAGGAAATGGTTCTTGTGTTAAGTGACTCTTATACAACTATTTTTAGTGCTATGTAAATCACTGATAATTTGGCCAGTGATGGATCTCCGTCATCCCGCGTCTCCTGTCATTAAATTCTGATATGTCACTATGACCATCAGGAAAGTGTGGCAATTGAAATATAGCAACTCGTAAAAGGGAGTTCTCTGTAACCCTTTAACTCTGTGCTCTACTTTGGGTCTCTGGATATTGATTGTTGGCAGTAACAAATAAATAATAATGTGCAGCCTACAGTATAACCAATTTATGAAATACATATCTAAAGTATGGGAATTCACTTTTCAATCTCTGTAGGAAGCACCACATCCTTAGTTACACAATCTAGAGTACATTGGCAGATTTGCATGTTACTGACTGGCCAGGGAACAGTACAAAAAAACGGATTACAATAAGCGCGGTATGAGTTAAAGTAAATTACTACATACCTGTGGTGGAAACTTCTGAAGCAATTGGAAACAGGACTCAGAGAGACACGAGGAGAGCTGGAGCTTTGATGCAAACACTGACGGTTTATTTGGAGCTTCGGCCGGAGAATTCACAAGACAAGTCACGGGCCACGGTTTGACCACACGGTAGAGATGCCACAATCAATTCTGAAGAACCCTCCTGTAGCTCCAGGTTTGAACTAGTTCAGAGTGTAATAATCAACATTCTTCAATAGATAGACTAAACAGCTGAGGACACTGAATCACATTTGTTGTCGCTTATGGCTCTGGGTCATCTACACCCGAGAAGGATGTGTTCCAGGTGTCCCACAACAATAACTATCTCTCACAGAGAGTTTCCCAGTCATAAACTGGTAACAACAACAACAACAACTTGCTAGGGCAGCCCCTCCTTAAGGGAGATAACGGCTGATCAAGGTTGGTCCGCTGCATCAGAGGGCGAAAGGTAAACATGTAGGGCAAAATTATTCCCTGACAATACTCAATCAGTACTGCATACTGCCTACTGAACAAACAATTAAGTATGATTCTACCTGCCGTAAGGCCACATACTGTAGGCTTTTCTCAAAGCAGAATTCTTGACTTAAGGAAAAGCACAGGTGTCACTAATAACACTAACGAGAGCTCTGTTCTATTCAACTGTTCCAGCCAGCCAGCATGTACAATACCTGGAGCCTGAAACCAAAGAAGCTAAATAGAATTTGGCCACTATTTCATTTTCACCTGTGCTGTTTCTACTGTGACAACTCAAAATGTCCTCTGTGAAAGAGGCATTTAACCTTAAGATTGCCCTTTTCAGATAGGACATTCTTAATCCAACCAATAAGCCAACTAATGTAAATAGACTGAGCACTATGACCAAGCATGGATACAACAGTTATGTTTCATCTGTAGCTCATGCCTATAATATAACATAAAGGTACAATAAAGGAAAGTTGTGTTAAACTTCAGCAATAAAACATAATCAATATCATGCAGCAAAATGTCCTTTCACTAGGCCTATTTTGTCTCATTTACATATTATCATGATAATGAATAAGAAACAGGTAAACTTTCAGTGAAATTTCTATTTCAATACCAGAAATAAATTGTTATTTTGGGGGGGGGGGGGGGAATTGAAGCCAAGAAAAACATGTAAAACATATGTATGGGGTCACAGCAAACCCTTGGAATTAAAGGCCCCCAGTCATCAGTCTAGGAGTAGAGTACTGCAGAAGTCAGACACAAACTAACTTTGAAGCTTATGTCAACAGTCTGTGATGTAAGTGTTTGTCAGGGAGAACTCTGTTGTTGGTGTCATGTAGAAACTTAATTATCATGCAACATATAATAAAGAATACAGTAAAATTTACTCACGGTA